TGTTTCTGGATGAGCTGGGTCAGCTGCGCAGCTGCAGTGCTCAGAAGGCCTTGCACCCGGGTCTCCGTGCACTGCAGGTTCTGGACCAGGTACTCCCTGTGGCCAAACCTTTTACTTAGATGATACCTCTTAGTAGCTTGGAAGAAATCCATCAGCTCTTCTACATTCTCCTGTTTAAAAAAGAAAAAAAAATTTTTTTTGAAGTATGTCTCATTAAACGTTAGAAAAATTGTCAGAACTTAAAATATTAATTTTCCTTTCAGAAGAAAGCACAGGAACAGAAGCAGTGATTGACACTTTTATCTTCCTCGCTCGGGACAAAGTCATATGCGAACCAGAGAGCTGAGACGTGCATTAGACCTGGCTGCCAAGGGCAGTCAGCACGGTGGCCCGCGCACCAAGCAGGACGCACGTTCATGGCTTGGGCTAAGCATCCTTCCGCCACTGCAGAAGCTCTGGTGAGTCAGCCGCCAGCCCACCCCCAGGGCACTCCACCGATGCAGGTGACACCTCAGGCAGGCATGGGGCACATGGTGGCAACACGACCCTTCATCCCAGCATGAACAGATCCACACGCAGGAGGGACAATGCCTGGCCCACACTGGGCTCTCCGCCGCCTGGTGCTGGACCAAGAGCCTACACGCCTCATCCCTTAATCTAGGCGGAGAGGACATCGTTACATTTCCAGTGAGGAAATTGAGTCCACGACACACGGCCGTGGGCACTGAGCGGGATGTGCAGGCCGCCCTCTGAGTCCACCCCGCTGTGCTGTCCTAGTGGGGCCGCCCCAAGTCCAGCTCCACCAGCAGCACTGGAAGGAGACCCACCTAGCTGCATCAGCTGGTCACAGAACAGCGCCTGTCCCACAGTCTTGTCCTCTTTTCCCCACCTACGGGAATACCATGCACAGCAGGGATTACCAGAGGGTCCCCACTGCGTTCAAGGGGAGACCTGCGATGCGTGGACCTTCTCCTTTCCATGTAAGAGCCGTGTCATCTCTGGGCACTAGCACCGTCCACACAGGGAGCAGCTGGGTGTCCACAGAGGTGGCTTAATACTGCCACTTCCTGGGGTTCCTGGCACCGGAATCATCGGGACATTCCCATTCCTCCTCCTCGGAGCTGGACCTGAGCTTGTAGGGGACCCAGCTGGCCTCCAGACTCCCTGAGGGCTCTGTGCCAGTCACCTCCTTAACCACGACATATCCCGGTGACACGTGCTCTTCTTAGTGAGGGCTCTGCACAGAGGGTCAGCACTGCCCGTCATGGGAGTAAGATGACAAGAAAACCCTTCCTATACGTAAGGTGGTGAGTCTGAGTCCTGCCCGTGGACCTGACAGAGTTCCTTCTGAATCTCACCAAAGGTTTATGAGCAAACACTTAGATCAAATGCAGAGGCAGTGTCTTCCCTTTCCATTCTGGGGTCTCCCCAGGGTGGCCCTCCCTTCCCCACATGCTCCAGGTGGTGACTTGCTGTCTTCCTGGGTGCCCGGGGCCATCTCAGCCCTACTCCCTGTGCCTCTACCAGGACCACACAACGCCCAGGCATGGGCATGCCGGTCTGTCTGTGGGTGGTCAGGGGAACGCCAAGTCCTGTGGCCCCATCGCTGGGACCTGCTCACAGGCACAGGTGTGGCTTCCACGTCCACACCTTGTCCAGTGGCTCTATTTTTCACCACTGCTTTGGCAACAGCCGTAACAGAGGCCAACGGCACACCTCCATGTCCCCTCCCTGTGCCCTGGGCCTGCCGAGGTGTCCCACGGCATGTTCCAGTGTGGGCAGAACCTGCACTTCTGCAGAAAGTAGAGAATTTTAAGGGGGAAATCAGCCAGCAAGCTGACCTTCTGGGACGATCTTCACTTGTGAAACTAAAGCTGAAATAGCAGAATGACTGCTCCATCAGAACCACAGTTTTGCATTCTTCAAACGAACACCGTCATGGACCAAGGCACCGTGACACCATCAGCCCCTGCAGACTTGAGCAGGCCCAACGGTGCCCCAATCTCTGGCACCATTCAGAGTAGCTGCTGTATACACACAGACTGGCTCATAAACTGGAAGAGGCGGCCTCTCTATGGAGCGATGGCCACATTTCTCAAATATTCTAGTCCTAGTCAATCCACAAGATTACGCAAATTAAGATAGGGGTTTGCTCTTAACCACCATCACCACCACCTGGAGCAAGTCATCAACACCCGGGAAAACCTGGGAGCAGAGCCATGAAGGCCATCCTTGCGCACCAGTGACTGCGCCCTGTGCCTGCAGAGAGCCTCATGAGGCCTCATGGGACCGTACACGGCAAGGCCGGCAGGCTGGGGAAAAGGACTGGCCCGTCATCTAAGAATCGGGTCTGGATTAATAAGATCCACACGCACGCTTACACACCAGGAGACACGCACACCCAAGCACAGCCAGACACTGACCCGAAAGCCTGGGCTGGCACGGGGACGTGAGTAACGCCGACACACCATGTGCACGTCCACTCTGTCACAGACCTGCACGTCATACCAGCCGGGCAAAGCACTGCCTTCAAGGATCAGCTCCTGACCTCCTCCTCCGCCCTGTGAGCACAGGCCTGTTATTCCCACCTCACAGGAGAGGACACTGGGCCGGGGCAGCCGGCTCAAGCTCACTCAGCTGACCGGGGTGGCACTGGAATCCGGTCTAGGTCAACCTGGTCCACGGCCTGCGCCCCAAGCCACCATCCCCCTGCACACGGGACAGTCACCCCCACAGCAGGGGCCGAGAAGAGGAAGGAGCTCACAGGACAGAGCACAAACCAGAGGTGGGGCTTAACTCCAGGAGAGGAGCGGTTTAGGGAGGAGTTGGGAAATGACGCCTCGGTCACAGGGAGCCGAGCGGAGGCCTTACCTGCAGTTTAGAATAATCTTGCAGCAGCATTTTAGCGGCCTCTGGCTTCAGGTCCCCTTTCAAAATAGCACTTTTTATCTGGGCAAAAAAGATACTGTGCAACTCGTTTCTCTGGAAAATGGCCAGCTGCCTGTGAGCCTGTGCGAGGTCTTCCTCCTGGTGCAAAGCCAGGGCGCTCCTCAGGTGCTCCTGCTCCAGGCCGTGGAGGGTCCGCAGCAGGCCCCGGCACTCGGCAGCAGACTGCGGAGAGAAGGGGCAGCAGTGAGCCTGGTGCTCTGAGCACAACCAGCCCACGTGGACACGGTCACACACGTGGACACATACACTCACACATGTACATTTAATACATAAGGTGCACTCAGCAGTGCTGTGTGTGCATGCCATGCATGTGCACACGGTGCCCAGAAAGGCACACACATACATGTTCACAACCACAGATGCAATCTGCACACGCGCCTTGTGTGTGACAGTCACACAGTACACACACACACACACACACACACACACACACACCCAGAGGTGCACACAGGCACAAACCAGAACACACATGGAACTCACGTGTGTGCACGGGCACGCACACACACCCTGTCCCAAGCTGTCATGATAGGGCTGGGAGATGCCCTTCCAACCTGTCCCCACCCTGTTATCTGAATGATTTTCCAGAACAGTCACAAAGCAAAAAATTCACAGGGTGGAAACCTGCACATCAAGCTGCTTGAACAGAGCCTGTGACTAACGGAGTCTCAACGGCCGCACAGCTCGGCCCACGAGATCATCGCGTCATCTTTCATTCTCAGCTTAATTGAAGACAGAGATGCCAGCAGCCAGGCCTCAGCTGGAACCCTTCGGGTAAAGGAGGCAGAGGAGGTATCAAGAAGTGGCTGCTGGCCCACCTGCTTGTTGGGGGTCCCTTGTGAGGAAAGGAGGAAGTGCACCTCTGCTGAGCCGTAACGCAGCTGTTCCCCAGCGTCTCAACAAGACTCGAGCCCTAGGAGGGAGCTGCCCTAACCCCACATGCGTGGTCAGGATCCTAACAGGACCCCAGGACCCCCCCCCTTCTGTAAATGTCACATAAATTCCCGTCCCTTGAATGGGAGTACAAATTTGAGCATGATGGGATGGTCACTCCTGTGATTAGGTTTTACATGACATGGCAAAGATGAAAGTGTCCTGACAATACAATTAGGTCCCTAGACAGTTGACTTTGGGTTAATCAGGGGAAACCATCCTGGGTGGGCCTGATTTCATCAGGTGAGGTCCATGAAAGAGGGACTGGCCCCCCCTGAAGACAGAGACCCTCTCCCACTAGCCTGGAAGAAGCCAACAGCTGTGCTATGAACTCTCCATGGCAAAAGGAAGCTTCCAGAAGCAAGGAAGTGAATCTGCCAACAGCATGAATGAGCACAGACCAGGACCCTGAGTTCCACAAGAGACTGGAGCCCAGCAGAGTCCTTCCCAGAGCAGAGGGGTCAGCGGAGCCATGCCAGGGTCCTGGGCACAGAGACCCTGAGGTCCCAGGGAGCACTGCTGAGGTTGCTCAGGGCGTGTTCTGTTGCAGCCACGGAAAACAAACAGCCTGCACCCCACAGAGGACCAAGGGCGCAGAGAAGCTAAGGGCCCCTCCCACAGCCCTCCCTGCTCGGCAGGACGCTGGGCTCCAGGCTCCACTTCTCAGCCACACGTGGGGAGGGAAGGCAGGGACGGGTGCACCTGCGTGAGGCAGGTGTGGGCCCTGGTCACCGGGAGGGGCTGTGCCCTGGCCAGCAGAGGCCGGGAAGGCGGGAGGGGCTGTGCAGCAGAAGCCAGGGCTGGGCTCCTCCGGGCTGAGTGGAGGCTTGGAAGCTCCGGGGGCCTTAGGTTCTCTGTCCCAGGAACATAGCCCCCCTGGTGGCAGACCGGTCACCTCTGCGTCCGCTCACTCGCAAAGCCTCGCACCTGGCTCCATCTCTCCAGCCCCTTTCACTGATCTTCAGCTGGTTCAGGATCCAGGAGGAAGGGAAGCATTTACCCAGGGCCCCTCAGAGAAGCCCAGCAGTCAGCGCACAGCAGCCCTGGGGCCGGGGAGACCAGAGCAAAGCCTCGAGGAGACCAGAGGGCAGCCCACCTCCGCTGCCCCCGCATCCAGCATCCATCTTGACAGGAGGGCTTTGCTTCAGCCACCCAATCACAGCTCCACCTTTCTAAAAAGCAGGCTCTATAGAAAGGATGGACTCATCCTGAGTCCCTCTATTGCAGAGCAATGGCATTTACAGGCGACTGGATCTAAATCAAAGAATGCAATTCACCAACAGCAGAGAGAGGGTCAGGGCCCGACTCCAGGCATTCCGCTAGGGCGAGTAGCTGGGCAGGTTCAGGAGGTGGGGGCTGCGGACGCCAGTCTCCAGGCTCCGACTTCTCAGCCACACGGGTGGGGGACAGAACTGAATTTTACAAGCCCCAAACCTCAGTTTACTTTAATTAACAGGAATGAAGTATGGAGTAAAACCCACTTAGTTTCTCATAGCTGGGGCAAGAAGCAGTCAGACAGACAGACAGACACACACACACACACATCTTAAAACACAAATTTCCGTCCTGTTTAGCATTATATTTCTGCACCCTCATGCCATAGTGAACACTCCTTAAAATAAATATGGACAGAACCCCACGCCTACTTCCACAGGCACCGCCCCTCTATTGGGAGTTCAAGGCCTTGTGGAAATGTGTCCCACAACTAATGAAGCTCAACATCCTGCAGCAAAGATGAGAAGACTCAGCCAAGAAGCAAGATGCCCACCCCCAGGCCAGCCAAGCAGGGGGCTGTATATGCAAATGGGTGAGGAAACCTGTCCTGGAAGGCACCAGGGAGTGGTAGGGAGTGGGGCAAAACAGAAAGGGCAAGTCCTCCTGCAGGAACAGGAACAGCCAGCTCACCAAAGGGGTTTTGTGAAAATAAGGACCAATGTGGTCAAATTTTCTCATTCTTTAAGAGAAGCTGAAAATCTGTATTTTTAATGTACAGTTTTATATTTTAAATATTGTCCACAGATGTGTATTTTTAAAGGAGCATTAAAGTAGTGGTCATTTACCCTAATCTCCCTATTGAACTTTCTAATTAAAAAATGGACTTTTCATGGAGAGGAGGCGTGGACAGGAGAGGCCACTGCAGTTCTGATTTGAGAAACGGCCCTGCAGTGGGCTGTCCCCGAACAACCGCCTCGTCGTACGATGTCGAGTTTATACCACGAAAAAATGTAAAATCGTCCTCAGGAAATCATGACTACCAGATGACGCTCCTTGTACTCAATTTAGCAAGATAGGCAAACTGTAAAATCGTTTCATAAAGACAAATCCACCCGAGATGGTTAAGACGTACGCCTTCTCGCACACGAGGAGTCTTTCCCCGAGGTCTTCCCGGGGGCTGAGGGGGCCTGGGGGAGCCAGCGCAGGACGCGTGCCCGATTCCTGGCCTCAGATGGCTGGGCACGCCTGGGTGCAGGAGAGACGGGAGGGGACGCAGCCCCCGCTGCCCGCGTGGCTGCAGGAAGCCGGGCTGTGAGGCGCTGCCTCTCTGGGCCTCGGTTTCCCCACCTCCTTGTGCAGACGGTTCCCACTCTGCTCCCTTCTGGGGTCTCCGGGAAGATGACATTGAGCCATGAGCCACAGTGCACATGCCCACGGGGGGTGCTGTGCCAAGCACTGGGGTCCTCTCTCTTCCCTTTTCTGACATTTAAATTGATTTAACTGACTCAGAACATGGCCCTTAAGCATGGTACTGGGGACCACGTGACGTCGGGACACACACACACACAGTGTGATGTGGACGCACATTGAACACGGTTTCTCTATCTGAAGACAGGCAGATGCTGCTTCCAGCTTGGGAGTCACACAGGACCTCGTGGTCACCTACAGCCACCTATGGGCAGCGGCACCTGGCTCTGCTCCCAGGCCACTCAGCCCCATGGCCCGCCTCTTCCCATCCGCCCTGAAGCTCTTTGCAAGTGTTGACTGCCGTCTCGGGACGCAGCAGGCGTCCTTATCATGCCATGTCCAGGAGGGGAAGGAGACCAGGGGACCGGGCCCTGTGCTCTGTGGAGCCGTGCTTTGAAGCCATAAGGAATTGCACGGGCTTGGGAAGGTGAACAGGTCTTCCTCTGTCCTCACTAGAGTTCCTGACTTTAAAAAACTGACACCGTCCACTTTGCTCCCCTCCCCACCTTAAACTATCCTGGGTGGAAGGATGAACTTTCCTTTGTTTTATTTTCAAAGGCCTGCAGGACACGCCAGGTTGCTTAGGGAGCCTCAGTTCCTGGACGGGGAGCCCTGCAAAGACCAGGAGGAAGGAGCTCTAGGCCCTTTCACAGCACAGACGGTGTTTCTGGGAGCACACAGAACAGGTGACCTGCGAGACTCAGGGTGTCCTCCCTGGCACGCCAGCAGGTGGGGCGAGGGTGCGGGAGGCTGCTGCCAGCCCTGCAGATGGGAGCTTCAGGAAGCCTGGGGAGGGCCAGTGGGCCTCAAGCAGAGGCCAGCCCCGCAGCCCAGCAGCTGCCCTCCCACCCCCACAGGCAGATGCAGCAGCCCAGGCAGCCACTAGCCAAGCCCTGGAAAGCCAGGGACACCCAAGAGGGCGGGTGCCTGTGGCTGGCACAGCAGGGGAGCCACGTGCCACTGCAGCCATGCAGCGTCCTGGCTGGCAGCATGCTGCGCGAGTCACGGGGCCGCCTGCAGGTCCTCGGGTGGTGTCTCCATGACCCACCTTCCTCCCTGCCAGAGCGGGACCCTCCCACTCCTAGCCCATGAGCCAGTGAGCTAGGGTAACGGGGGACGTGGGGCGCTCTAGCAGCGCCCGCCCCTCGACCACAAGCGTGAGCTTGGACTCGCAGCCTATGTAATAAACAGCACTTCATAAGTTAACGTGTGGTTTATGTGGCGAGATGAAGCGAAAGCAAGCCCGACGTGCAACTAGAGGAAATGCATTCCCCCACCCACCCCACAGCCAAAGGCGAACACGCGGGCATGTGGGGCAGGACGGGGCTGAGCTGGCACAGTGCCCCGGGGGAGCCCAGTCAGTGGCCTCTATGAATGCATACAGCAGGAGCTCAGTCAGTGGCCCAGGCACTGGCCAAGCCGTGGTGTGGGTCCCACCTTTTCCCCCCAAGTCCTTTCTTTTGGGCTTTAAGGTGAAATGGGCAAAGTGCCATAAAGGACCACACCAGCATCTCAGATTTCACAGCCACACCAGCCTGGGGCCCTTGGCCATTTGTTTTTTCTATGACTCTCATTCTGGGCCCATTCCGGGCCAAGCAGAGTCAGGCGGGCAGGCGGTCAGTCAGGCCTGCTTGCCAGCTAGTGCCCTGCAGCACTCTTCAAGCCCCTCCTGGAGCAGGTGTGATTCTCATGGGAAAATAGCTGAACGCATTAGCAGAGAGGGAGGGGCAACGAGAGAGTTCAGGGGCCCAAATCCCAGAACGGCACACTCAAGGCCTTCTTTCCAAGTGCCAGGGCTCAGGGGGACATGGTGCTGACCAGCAAGGTCGTGGACACAGCAGGGTCTGCAGGCAGGCTAGAGGTGGCTCAATGACAGCACACCCATCTGTGAACCACGCTCTCTGCAGATGGAGCCCTCTACCCTCCATGACCTCCCACGGCACCAGAAACGAATCTTTATGATAACATGGCAGAACGGTGTCTCATCTTTTCATATGTGAGGATTCCTCATGACACCATGAACTTAATGCAAGAACCATGTCTCACTTTTCTTTGAAACATCAGTGCCTAGCCTAGGCCTGGGAGACAGTAAGTGGTCAATAAATACTTGCCAAATGAATTCTAGAT